CTTCTGTTTGGTTCCCTTAACCCTGTCCTTACCTCTTATATAAACCCTTCCATAAATTCAATCAGACCTTTTAATACCTTTAAATAGGTTAGCTTTAACCTATTTTGAGGTAACCCTGCCTAATGCCCATGTGATAAGAGGTGACCAAAATTGCTCCTTTCTTTACAAGAAAAGTCTAGAGATCTATTGAAACAGAAAGTTCTTAAAAGAGTTGTTGCTGTATTAGACTCTAATAATTGGATCATTCTATAAACACAGTTTAGCAATGAGATGAAGACTATGTGAAAAATAACCAATTTAACCACCTCAACACACCTGAAATATGATTGCAGGGGAAAAAATGGGATAACAGTAATTTTTTTAAAGTATATTTTATTTAGAAAAACAGTGAAGAGGAATTAGCATATAGTGGTTACTGGCTCCAAGCATGTATCATTTATTTATGAATAAGAATGGTAATGGTTGTAAGTGGAGAGAATTTTTAGTACACACCCTCTTATGCCCATTGAAGGAATTTTTCTTGTCTATTTCTCTTCATGAGTGTGCCTCAGAGAGCGGCTCATGAGTATGGACTGCGGGGGATAGAACAATCACTACGGTAGTTAATTACAGACCCCTGTTTGGCAGATGTTGGCTTTCTCTGGCAAAAAAAGCAACCAGTAAAAACTAAAATTTGCTTTTTAAAAAACACTTCAGTTTAGGTGCTCTCTTAAATGGTAATAATTCAAAGAGATTTAATAGACTATGAGACCTGAATGTGAACAAAAACTTTTCTTCTGAATCTTTGCAACCAATCTGGAGTAGCTTTCCATTTCCCTTTATCTCTGTTATAGGGCACAGGGGAAAATAAAGTCAGGATAAGCTCATGCTTTGATCTGTTTACCTCAAGACTCAGAGATACTGCATCTTTTGGGAAAGGTGCAACATCACATCTGTATTTGAATTCTTAAGATTCTTAGGACTGAATTCATTTGGTCAAGAAAAATTTATTGAGCACCTATTATGTGTCAGGCACTCCTTGCACCAGAGATCTAGCAACAACAAATGTTTCTTAGATTATAATGAGGCTATGTAAAGAGTAAATAAGCAAAGCATATTCCATGTGTTGGAAAATATATGGAGTAAAACAAGGCAAGGGAGATGGATAAAGATTTTTGAGGAATGAGATAAAGATCTCCAAATTAATAAATTAGTCAAACAAACTCTCTCTGAGAACATCTCATTTGACTTAAAACCTAAAAGAAGAGAGGATAAACCATTGGGATATCTTCAGAAGAGCAGTCCAGGCAAGGTCTAATGAAGCAATGTACTCCTGCCTCTTTCCTCATGGACCTACAGAAGGACTTCCCTGGAAAATAAGCATAGTAGAATGGCTAGATCATAGGTCACATACATTTAGCTTGATAATGTACTGATTGCCCCACAGAATGTGTACCAGTAGGACAACACATCCTCATCCTCACTCAAACCTGGCATTTTCTAGCTGTTTAAATGCTGCCAATTTGTTATTATTACAAATTCCAATTAACTCACTGTTGTTTCAATTAACATTTTGGGGATGAATCGTGTACTTTGAGCAACTCTACCAATGCTATTTTCACATTTTGGATTTCTTGTTTTGTAAATTGTTCACTTCTATATTAGAGATTATGTGTTTATATTTGTAGCTGTTTCTTAAATAATTTAGATACTAATCACTTGTCTGTTTTAGATGTAAAAATCACGTTAGACTATTTCACAAACACCATGTCCATGCTGACTGAAACATAAATCTTTACTTGTGATGTAATACAAATGGTCAAAAATGTCACTGTGACTTTTATTCAGTAAACATGCAATAACCATCCATTAAGTGTTGAATTCTAAAGGAAGAGATTAAGTTCAACTAGTCCCACCAACCTGTTCCTAGACTCCAAAATCACTGCAGATGGTGACTGCAGCCATGAAATTAAAATATGCTTGCTCCTTGGAAGAAAAGCTATGACAAACCTAGGCAGTGTACTAAAAAGCAGAGATATCACTTTGCTGACAAAGGTCCATATAGTCAAAGCTATGGTTTTTCCAGTAGTCATGTGCAGATGTGAGAGTTGTACCATAAAAAAGGCTGAGCCAAAGAACTGATACTTTCAAACTGTGGTGCATGAAAATGACTTTTGAGAGTCCCTTGGATAGCAAAGACATCAAACCAGTCAATCCTCAAGGAAATCAACCCTGAATATTCATTGGAAGGACTGATGCTGAAGCTGAAGCTCCAATACTCTGGCCACCTGATGTGAAGAGCCGGCTCATTGGAAAGGACTCCGATTCTGGGAAAGACTGAGGGCAGGAGGAGACAACAGAGGATGAGATGGTTTGATGGCATCACTGACTTGATGGACATGTTTTTGAGCAAACTCTGGGAGATAGTGAAGGACAGGGAAGCCTGGCGTGCTGCAGTCCATGGGGTCACAGAGTCAGACATGAATGAGCAACTGAACACCAACAGTCCCACTCACCCAGGGGTTATAACCTGAGGAGAGAGAACCATAACTGTAATTAAAGGCAAAAATAAGTTAAAGAAATGTCAAAACACTAAAATGGGAATATAGGAATTGAAAAAATATTCATGAAGATCAACTTGTTGAAGTTATGAGTCTAGGGAGAACAAGTCTTCATTCTTTTGTGAGGGATGGAGTCAGCCTTTTTACTCCTCTCTTAGCTATAGTCATGACTTTTCTGGGTGCTTTCCTAGTGGAAATGTCAGCTCCTTAATATTTATTAATAAGAGCCTTTATTGAGATAGACATCTGAGAAGCCAGAGATGTGGATACGACTAAGAAACATATCCTGCCTGAAGAAGGTTACTCGGAAAAAAAAAAATCTATACACCCTTCTTTTCACATACTGTGTATGAACATCTTGAACTTTCTTCTATTGAAACTGCTTAGCTCTGAAGTTCCATAGCTATTCTGATTTATTATGCATATCTCAGCACCACTCCTTATAGCATTAACAATTGTTCATTTAAATTCTGTACTTGTTTCATTTAATAAAGATAAGCTCCATAAGGCGATGGTGCAGATATATTTAGAGAGTTGAGAAAAGGCAGATAATAAATCTAAACTGGTCTATAACTTGGAAACAGTGTATTGATGCAATCAGATTTTCATTTAAAATGGATGACTAAAACTACAGTGTGAGAAATATGTTTGGTTTACTTGGGTGGATTAATGGTAAGATCAGTGGAGGAGAGCAGATGTCAGTATCTTAGTAAGGCAGAGGAGTAAAAGTGGCCTTTATTATGAAAGTACTAGCATGATGGAGCAAAAAGTCTATGATTAGCAGGAAAAATTCACAAGAATTTAAAACATTCATTTATAGATTGTCTAGTGTTGGGGTGGGCTATTGATGACTTTCGATTTTTATCAGCTGATACCAAGCACTGTCCCATGCATAGTTTGCTCAGGCTGCCATAACAGAATAGGACAGACAGGGTAAATTAGAGAAATGTATTTTCTCATAGTTCTGGAGGCTGGAAGTCCAAAATCCAGGAGCCAGCAGGGTTGATCTCTGGTCAAGCATCTCTTCCTGGCTTGCAGACTTCTTCCTTCTCACTATGTTTTCACATGAAAAAAATTTCCTCTGTGCACATGTGGAGAGAGAAAGATCTTTGGCATCTCATCATCTTTTAAGGACAATGATCCTATCAGATCATGGCCCCACCCTTATGATCTCATTTAACCTTAATCATCTCCTTAAAAGACCTGTCTCCAAATACAGTCACCTTGAAGGTGAGGTCTTCAACATGTGAATTTTGTGGGGATACAATTCAGTCCATAACAACCCAGGTTAACATACCTTTAATGAATGGAAAAAACAAATTAAAAGTGTGGATTATGGCCAGTATTTTCTTCCAGTCTGTGAATTTTCTTTCCACTTTCTTGATGGTATCTTTGAAATATTTTAATTTTATTAAATCCAATATATTAACTTTTTTTTATCACTTGTAACATTCAGTTTTACATAAAATAGAATTTGCTAATGTAAATAGTAGTTTGTGATTGTATAGTCACAAAACCACATAAGTGATTCAAATTAGTTTTATTGATATTAAAGATTTTATCAGTCAAAATTATGTTATGTATATAAAATAGAAAACACAAATAACGGTATATAAAATATAGCATTTTATTTGTTCTTTGTTTCTGTTGGGTTCAGAATATGTCCAAATAAATATATATATATTTTTTACATTTATTTACTTGGCTGTGCCATGTTTTAGTTGCCCCATGTGAACTCTTAGTTGTGGCATGTAGGATCTAGTTCCCTGACCAGGAATCCCATCTGGGCCCACTGCATTCAGAATATGGAGTCTAAGCCACTTGACCACCAGGGAAGTCCCCCTAAAATATTTTTAACCAACACACATAAATTAATTGCTAATTGGTTGTTGGAAAGGATCTTGCCTACATCCCCTAGTCACCTAGAGCACGAAACAAAGATCTGGCCAAATCTTTGTCCAAAGGCATTATGCCAGGGTACCTTGACCCCATATTTGTTTCATTATGCCACATAAGAAAAACAGCAGCAGAAGTATCACTGATGAGAGCAGCAGTAGGGTATCAACCTGCCAGCAGAAAGTAAGACAGCTGGTTTAGTTTTCATATAGTGACTATAAATTACAGAGTTAGGATTCCAAAGAAAACAAGGTTTTACTGCTGTTTAGTTGCTAAGTTATGTCTGACTCTTTGCAGCCCCATGGACTGTAGCCCACCAGGCTCCTGAATCCATGGAATTTCCCATGCAAGAATACTGAGGTGGGTTTCCATTTCTTTGTCCAGGGGATCTTCCCAAACTAGGGATCCAACCTGCATCTCCTGCATTACAGGGGGATTTTAGTGACTGTAATTATAGTTAGGATTCCAAAGAAAACAAGGTTCTGTTGTCATTTAGTCACTAAATTCTGCCTGACCCAACAACTCCATGGACTATAGCACACCAGGCTCTGGAATCCATGGAATTCTCCAGCCAAGAATACTGGAGTTGGTTGCCATTTCCTTCTCCAGGGGATCTTCCTGATCCAAGGATTGAACCCAAGGCTCCTGTCCTGCAGGAAGATTTTAGGGACTGTAATTATAGAGTTAGGATTCCAAAGAAAACAAGGTTATATAGCAACAAAGCCAACAAGAGCATGCACTTGTTTTGACCAGTTTGGTTTATGTAACCACAGTGGAGCTGGCGATGGGATTATCTTCACTAAAATTACACATGTTTGCACACATCACTGGTGGGAAAATGAAGTGACGTCACTGTGACTTCCCTGAAAGCACTGGAATGTCTATAGAACAGGTCAGTAGCAAAGAAGAATCCATGTTCTGAAAGAGAGTAAAGCAATAGATTTGGAAGAGATTTTTCTACTATATTACTAGAGTCAGAATTCCAACTTTCTTTTAAAAAGAGCTTTTTAATCAATAAAGTCAATGTCAATCCATTCATTGCTTACTTGAATATCATACACTTTTATTACCTTAGTTTATACAAACTCAGTGTAGCTGAGGAAAGAATTAATTTCACATGAACTTCATCAATTCCGGTTGTAGGAAGGGCAATTCTCCAAAGGAAAGCTGCAATGCAGTTCTCCAAAACAACAGGAATAATTCTGAGCAGTTAAAGCTAATGATGTCCAATAGTCCATCTTTAGCTCAATTTACTAAAAACCAACCTACCTAAAGTGAATTTTCCAAATGACTCATTAAACAAATGGTCAATTTGCAAAGGCCTACATTGCAAAGTTATAGTTCCTAAAACCACTGACCAAATATAAAGGTATACCAAAAACGGTTTTAAGAATAATGCTGTGTCCATTATTTCAGAATATGAAGATGAAAAACATTATTTTGAACACTACATACATTCAGAAAGAATTTCACCATGATAAAATGTTCAACATATTATGTAAATATGAGTCTATTTTAACTTAGTATTCAAATGCTAGTTCATATTTTAAAGATCTTTAAATATTTTAGACTTCAAATATAGTACTTTAATTAAATCAATTTACTTTAACCCTTCCTTGCAAATTAATATATCACTGATAAATATTGGCCTTGAGGAATTAATTATATGATTCAGTAAGAATCATTTTGAATAGGCAAAGTCATTTCTCTTCTGCAAAATTTTGAAACTTAATTTTGCAGTAGTCTGCAATATTTCCAACATTTATTTTTTAAGAAACAACATTACAGCAGTTCCTAAGGGACTCTGTAATTGCAACTCATTACAGATTTGGGGGGTATTCTTTTGGTTTTAGGATCAATTTATTAACTAAATGACAAATTTAATTTAGCTAAATGAATATACACATTTAAACTAGTTGTCATTTAAAATTCTACTTTGCTTTGGATGCTTTCATTGAAATTGAATTACTTTATTTCATTTAAATTAAAAGAAAAATGGTGAGATTCCTGCTATTCTGGCATTCTTGACAGTAGGCACTCAGACCACACCATCAAGAATATCTAGGGTCCCAATTTATCCTTGTTGGCTTAATTCTCAGAATACCTTCCTGCAAATAGTAGCCCTAGATGTTAAATCAGTGGTTCCCCAAACCACAGCACCAACATCACTTATGCTACCTGTTGGAAATACAAAATCCCAGACACCTCTCCACATGGACTAAGTCAGAAACTCTGGGGACAGAGGAGGTGTCCAGCAGCTAAGTTTGAACAACCTCCCTGGTGAGTATATCGCATGCTAACACTTGAGAGCCCCCATGACTGCATGTGGGATAACACTTACTGTGCTTTTTGACACAAGAGGATCCTCTGTTGACCACTGAAGTTTCAGAGCCTCCAGAGCAGCCAGTATCACTTTGTCCCATCATTCTGGGAGCCTAAAGTGTGCATGCAGAAAGAGCCACAACTGTTAGTTACTTCAGCTTTCTTTTGCCTTGTTATTTTCAGAGAATACTTTTAACAATAGATCATCTCTGGTCATATCTTGGACCAAGTAACCAAACAGCTGTCTTGGGAGGAGCAGACTTTCTTGGGGAGCCTCTTTTCTTTTAGAGGTTTGAAGACCACTCACCATGTCTGTAATGAGTTTACTGCTGAGCTGGCCTGGATGGGGGCAAAATTTCTGAGGTCCCCTGCACTTGCCCTTAAACATTGGGAAAGCAATCTTTCTCCTCTAATGTGTGTGGAGAAAATGCCTTGTCAGGGTGGCAAGTCTTTGCACCATCTTTCATCTCAACTCTTTTATACTGCTTAGTCAAGTGACAGGTTAATGCCTGCAGAATCAGTTTTGGTCCAATTCTTTTGCAAGATCACCCGCCACTCACTTTAAATATAGGGGTACTTGGGAGGTATGGATTCAGACCTTGGCATCTCCCAACAAATTCTCATGGAAGAAAAACTGCTGCTTTCATCATCCAGTTCAATGCAGGTTTTCAGGGATATGTTTGGCTCCCAACATCTTCACTCATACCACCTTTACCTATAGGCAATATGGGTACATACGTCCTCTCTAAGAGGTGAGGAAGTGGGCCTAGGGAAACCACAAAGCAGTAGACTACACACTGCTGTGACCTGCGACTTACCATCAAAAAAGAGTTTACCTGCCAAGGACATGGGGTAGGCACCTTCATCTGGTGTGAAACCTCCTCCTCCTTGTGCTTAAGAGCACAGATTTGGGGTCCTGCTTTTCTAGGTTCCAATCTGAGTTCTGCCACCTCTTGGCCTGGAGGCTTCAAAAGGTAGTTTAATTCTGATCGCCACTATATTTTTGGTGATGAGATACTTCAACGTTCTCCATGTAAGTGAACTGAAATGAGATACCAGACACAAAGCCTTAGTATAACTCTTGGCATATAACATAGCTCTTATTAGTTATATTAAACAAATTGCAGCTCAAGATGTTGGGCAAGAGCAGTAGTTCTCAAGAGGTGATCCTGAAACCATCAGTGCCATGGCCTGGAATCTTCTTAGAAAGCATATTCTCAGGGGTTCCACCCAATCAGACAAACCAGTAGGGATCAGTAACCTGAAAATTCTAGCCTAAAAACATTTTTTTCATACTTCTCTCTTTTCAAAAGTAGAGCATACTTCTCAATGGCATACCCAAATCTTGCCATAGAGTAGTTATTCTCAAACTGTGATCCTTGATCAGCCTCAGCTAAACGGTGGGTGGAGATGCAAATTCTCAATCTAACCTATAGAAAACCTACCTAAACAAATTGACAGGGTGAGACTCCGCCAACCAAGCCAATTTAACAAACCTGCCAGGGTATAGAAAACCTACCTAAACAAATTGACAGGGTGAGACTCCGCCAACCAAGCCAATTTAACAAACCTGCCAGGGATTGAATGTCTGCCCAAGTTTGAGACTCTTCCCTGGATCCCTGGTTTTCTAAATTTTCTACTAAATGGAATCCCCAGGTGATTCTTTGAAAACACCTGAAGCACTGGTTTTACAACCAGAGACTGTGATCACTTTGAAATGAGGGAGGAACTGGGAAACAAAAATTTTCAAAGCTACCTTGACAATTCTAATACAGAGGAAGTATGAGAAACTCTGCTCTAGCCTATGTGGCCTGACTTTAGCAAAGGGAGAAGAAGACCTCATCTCTTCAGAAATCTCAAGAAAAAACCTCCTCACGCTGACTCCAGAGGGGCTATGTGCTCAGCTCAACTTCAAATATTTTGGGAAGGGGGATAAAGGATTGATCAATGGAGCCTTTGCATTCTTACCCTTAGTGTGTGGGAAAGGGTGAACTCCACTAAAGTAACTTAGAATGAAAATTAATGGTGAGTGGTTCCTAAAAGTAGAATCGCAAATTTGGGGACAGGGTAGTGCTAATAGCAAACAACAAATATGAAACTAAATAAATATTTGGGAGGAATTTTTATTGACAAAGGTCTTGTGAGTATTTTCTACTTTGTTCAGTTTGTTCTTTCAATGATTATCCTGGTTGAATTCATCTTTTCTTCTTGTTTGCAAAGTAAAATCCAAAGTTTTTCTAGAAAAATATTTGTTTTCTGAATTATTAATATAGAAATGCATAAGGACTTGTCATAGTTTTTTTCTACTTCTCACATATTATGCTTACAATAATTTTGTAATTTACACAAACACTTATTCCATTTTCTGTCAGGTTAAATTTGTTATACCTGCTGAAGTTTCGAGTATATTTTCATATATGTTACAAATATAAAAATTATGACTAAATATTTAACAGTATTCTTAGAAGTTGAAATAAACTGGAGTAGACAAAAATAGGTATTGAGTCATATAAACACTAGAAAATACTCAAGATTATTTTGTGGGTATGTTGATAATCATGACTATATATCAGTAGGCATTGCAAACTGACTGAAACATTAGAATACAAAGAATTGATACAATGGTAAAAGAAGACATACAGATGGCTAACAAACACATGAAAAGATGCTCAACATCATTCATTATCAGAGAAATGCAAATCAAAACCACAATGACGTACCATCTCACACTGGTCAGAATGGCTGCTATCCTAAAGTCTACAAACAATAAACGCTGGAGAGGGTGTGGAGAAAAGGGAACCCTCTTACATTGTTGGTGGGAAGCCACTGTGGAGAACAGTGTGGATATTCCTTAAAAAACTGGAAATAGAACTGCCATATGACCCAGCAATTCCACTGCTGGGTTTCCACACACCGAGGAAACCAGAACTGAAAGAGACATGTGTACCCCAATATTCACTGCAGCACTTATAATAGCCAGGACATGGAAGCAACCTAGATGTCCATCAGCAGACGAATGGATAAGAAAGCTGTGGTACATAAACACAATGGAATATTACTCAGCCATTAAAAAGAATACATTTGAATCAGTTCTAATGAGGTAGATGAAACTGGAGCCTATTATACAGAGTGAAGTAATTCAGAAAGAAAAACACCAATACAGTATACTAATGCATATATATGGAATTTAGAAAGATGGTAATGATAACCCTATATGCGAGACAGCAAAAGAGACACAGACATATAGAACAGTCTTTTGGACTCTGTGGGAGAAGGAGAGGGTGGGATGATTTGAGAGAATAGCATTGAAACATGTACATTATCATATGTGAAACAGATCACCAGTCCAGGTTCAATGCATGAGATAGGTGGGAGGGGTGCTAAGGATGGGGAACACATGTACACCCATGGCTGATTCATGTCAATGCATGGCAAAACCACTACAATATTGTAAAGTAATTAGCCTCCAATTAAAATAAGTGAAAAATGAAATAAATATTTTTAATTGAAATATTAAAAAAAGTGAGAAAAAAGAAATGAATATGAAAAGTACATTGTTAGAATGAATGTCACTCCAGGACAAAGGAAATTATTATAAGATATTAAATTCTATTTGTATTCTGTTGCTAGGTTTTAGTATCATTGTAATATTAAAATATTCTTAGAATTTTTAAAAAAAGGAGAAGGCAATGGCACCCCACTCCAGTACTCTCGCCTGGAAAATCCCATTGACAGAGGAGCCTGGTAGGCTGCAGTCCATGGGGTCGCTAAGAGCACAACTCAGCGACTTCACTTTCACTTTTCACTTTCATGCACTGGAGAAGGAAATGGCAACCCACTCCAGTGGTCTTGTCTGGAGAATCCCAGGGACAGAGGAGCCTAGTGGGCTGCCGTCTATGGGGTCGCACAGAGTCAGACACAACTGAAGCGACTTAGCAGAAGCAGCAGAATAAAATAAGAAACTATCAATAGTTATACAACCATTTATTTCAAAAATATAAACTACATATGATAAAAAGTACCATATATAAGAATATGAATTTATAAACTCTGCTGTAAAAATTATATATTGGTGAGCCTGAGTGGCTGAAAACCTGTATCTGGCAGAGGTCTACAGTAATGAGGATGGATCTGCTCCACTGAGCCCTTAGAAGTCCAAAAGGATAGGAATCTTTGTAAACTTGAAGGTTTGGGTCACACCACATAGTTGATACTATCATTGTAACTGGGGGGCGTGTCTGTTGGTTTAGACCTGATACTTTGACCTGAATCAGTTTGACCTTCATCACACTGGTGCTGGAGAAGGAGGAGCTAATAAAATCCGTCATAGGGATTCTCCAGATTAACGGACCAAAATTAGGGAGATCTTACCTGGTTGGCCACACACGGTCAAAGGTCAGTGTTGGGAGAGTTGAGTTCAGTGAATGGGATGCCAGTGAATAGGACGATGGCAGGGTTGCACCCAGTTGCTCCTGGATTCCTCCTTCCACCCCATTTCACACTGCTTCTTTTAAAGAGTCTTCATGCGCTGCCATAAACCAGAAGCAAGGCTTTAACAGCTTTCTCTGAGTTTTGGGTCCTTCTAAAGAAACATGAAACCTGAGGGTAGTCTAGTGGATCCCAGACAGTATGATGAGGAAATTACATGTTTTTGTTGATTAGTCGCTAAGTCATGTCAGACTCCTTGCGACCTCATGGACTGTATTTCACCAGGCTCCTCTGTCCATGGGATTTCCCAGGCAAGAATATGAAAGTGGGTCTCCATTTCCTTGTCCAGGAGATGTTCTCCACCCAGGGATTGGACCTGAGACTACTGCATTGCAGAGGGGATTTTAGTGACAGTAATTATAGACTTAGGATTCCAAAGAAAACAAGGTCTAGTTGTCGTTTAGTCACCAAGTCATGTCTGACTCTTTGGGATCCCATGGACTCTAGCCCACCAGGCTCCTCTGTCCATGTGAATTCTCCAGGCAAGAATACCGGAGTGGGTTGCCATTTCCTTCTCCAGGGGATCTTCCCAGCCCATGGACTGAACCTGTGTCTCCTGCATTGCAGGTGGCTTTTTTTTTTTTTTACCACTGAACAGTGTTAAATGATCCCCAACTCTAATTATATAAGAATAACCAGTTTGAAGTGAAGTTACCCTCACTGAAATCCCTCTGGCTATTGCCTAAATTCTGAAGAAAGGTATGCTGAAGGAGGCTGGATTCCATGCTCCTGATTCAACAGGCCTTCATCTTAAAGGAGAGCACTGGAATTTCCACAGATCTGACAGGACTTAGGAGTCAACACTCCAGAAAGAAGGAGAGTAGCAGATTCAGATGACATAATTCTACAATATACGTTAAGCTGTGATGCCAAATTCTGACAAACATATGTTTATGTAGTATCAGAGAATGTGCATGTGTGCTAAGTCAAGTATCAGGGTATCTAACATCAATCTAGTGGACAGTGGAACAGGGCCCAGTTTGGATCACTTTGGTTTCCACAGCATCACTGATGACACTGGTTCTTCTTAAATCTCCTAAATGGGGATTTTATGAAGTACACTTGCCCAAAGTAAACCTGCAACATGATCTTTCAACCCACTGGTAATTTTCTGCGCAAGTAAAGCTAATGATGTCCACTAGAGTCCATCTTTAGCTCAACTTACTTGAAGGAAAGGTTCTTCAATTTAATTTTTCAAATGAGTAATTCACTAAATGGCCAATATGACAAACTATCAATTTTTTACATAGTAATTACCCAAATAAAAGACATACCTAAACGGGCATAATAGTTTGTTAATATCCAATATGACAGTCTGGGAAAAACCATTTTATAAATATTAAACATTTTTTAAAAATGTAATTCACCATGACAAATATTTGAACATTTTACATATGGATGAGTCCATTTTAACAATAAAAAAAAAAAACTATTTCTGACAGTTTTGTAAGCCTATGGTTAACCAAATTGTAGTAATTTTTATTCAACTGATATCCTGTTATACTATCATAATTTCATTTGCAATTTAAACAAATACACTATATAGGCACTAAACCTACAACTGAGGCAGACATCTGAAAAAGACAAATATATTTATCTTTTGAAAATTTTGGAATATACCTTTCATGGGCTATTTAATGAAAGCAGGTAAATCACCTCTTCTTAAAAAAATCCTAAAACTTTAATATTTTCTCTATGACAGAATATTGTGAGGTTTGTGATACTATGATATTTTCTTTATCAAACTGCAAATATAACTTTAGGTGGATATACATTTAAATAAAAATTTACAGCTTTAAAAATTAAACTAAAATTCCATTTTTCAGAATTGGAATAAAAATGAATGATATAAAAAAGGTTAAAAAATGTAAAGATGATATATATATAGCAATATTTCCACTAATCTGACATTTCTGAAATTAAGCAATGGCCCGTGTCTTAATACATCAGTGTTTTGATATATCTCTCTTCCTTTATGCACATGAATAATCCATAAAAATGGTAGACTAAAATGTGGCATCACGGACTACTGAAATCTGTCACTCAAGCCACCCCTTTAAAATTACCAGCACAAAGGATGCAACTACTAACACATTTAATGTGTGAGAACAAGAGGGCAGAGCAATGCTCTTTTCACAGCATGAAGCATGTCACCAGAGGACGAGCAGTAAGACTCCACATGAGAGAGACTCACTGTTTTCTCTGGAATACATGGGCTCTCCTCTGGCTGTAGCAGGCTATGTTCTTTAGAGCAGGCAACATCACTTCTTCCCAGAACACTAGGAAGCTCCAGTGCGCAGGCAGAAATGGCCAAGAAGCAACATCATTGCAGGCTCTCTGACTTTGTCAACTCTTGATTATTATTCTCTGAGAGAAACTTTGAAGAAAGGATTATTGCCTGGGGGAATGTAGAGTTCACAAGGGAGCAGTGATCCTGGAGGACTGAACGTCCTGGGGGAGGTTCTTGGTCTCCAAGTGCCCAAGGTCACTCACCATGTCTGCAGTGAGATGACTGCTCAACTGGCCTTTTTGGGGCAAACTATCTGAAGCTTCCAGAACTGGGCTTGAAACAAGGAAAAAGCAGAATATCTCCCCAGCCCATGTGGCCAGAAAACATGGCAGCCTTGAACAAGCCATTGTCAAACTCTAAGAACCCTTTGCAGGCAGGCCTCAGAAAGAGAAAGGAGCACTTGGCTTTAGAACAGGATGGAGTCTGGGGTCGGGCCTGATGTGAGCCAGCAGAGCTATTGCTATCAGTGCTCAAAGCCACACAGGTTTTTGTGGTGTGTCTCACACATGGTGCCTTCACTCGCCATACATTTTTTCCTGTGGGCACACACGGTGTGTTCACCATCTTCCACAAGAGGCAAGGAGACACACCGGAAATGCCAAGGAGTGGCTCTGCCTGCATACTACCGCAGCCCATGTTGGCCACGAACACAATGACTGCCCTGATGGCCACAGGCCAGGACTTCCAACAGGTGGAAGACTACTCCCTATTGTGAAATTAAGCCCAAAATTTGGCTCCTGCATTTTTCATGTACCCAGAGGAACTCTCCCATCTTTTCACCACAAGCCTGAGCCAACTGATTTCTGTCCAGTCTTCAACTTCTGTCCTATAGGACAGGGCATGCTTTAACACATTCCTCATGCAGCCAAACTAAAATACAATGAGAAACAAAAGTCTGAGGATAACTTGTGGACCACAGCATAAGACACAGGCTAATCTGCAAGGACACAGTAAGCTAAATATCCTATCATATTTTTTTATTTTTATGTAAAAAAATTGCTTTCTCCTCTCCATTTACAAGAAAAGCAATGGTTTCACTAGAAATGGAGATCTTTACTACAGCAGAGCAGCTGGTCTCAAAGTGCATGCTATACTCCTGAGCAAGAGCTGGGCACCACGTAGTCATGCATATTCTCACCCATATGACACAGGCTACCTCCTCACAAACACTAAGGGGGACATGGGGCACATATGCTAAATTGCCAAAAGCACATCAGGGCTTCCCCTGAGTGCCAAGGTTTGAGAAAAGTAATGCATTGACACCCTGTCTGTAATACTATCAGAAAATAAGAAATCTTGGGACAATATATGAACAAAATGCTAACATGTCGGTTACTGCAGGTGAACAGACTCATTTCAAGGTGAAATAGCCAGAACGAAGGGGATTTTAAATTTTGGGGAGTGATCTGTGGTAAATCAGGGGATCGTGACACAAGAATATTATCCACCTATCTTGAGCAGAAGGCAGGAGTGAAACATCACTTTCGAGACTTTCAGAAATAAAATTCACAGAAAAATATCGTGAATGCACCCTCGGTCTTTCTCACTGGACACTGGCCTGCATGATGGGGAACAAATATGGGAGCCATCCCATCTCACGGAAACTGTAAGGTAAGGTGGGTTGTCAACAAAGGTAAGCAGACAGCTAAGGACATGACACATACTGTAGTCACTATGTACCTATGAACTACATAGATGTGAAAATACTATTCTTCACCTAATGAATTCAGCCTTATTCATTGTTTGAAAAGGGGTGAGATGAGGACTACTGGGGTAACTAGACAGCAGAAACACAGTTCTTGACGCTCTAGTATCACAAAGAAGCTTTTGTTAAGAACTTCCGTAATTGAACAAGAAAAAGATATGGCTGAGGTGTACGAAAATACTTTGAAAAGGCAAGGGCAGGCCAGTAAGCTCAATGAGGACATGCGCAAGCAGAGTTGAACCTCAAAGATGCCACTTTCCGGGGTGGGAATCCAGCCTGCCTCCCTGATTCTCACCAAGTGCTCCTCCAAGGAGCAGGTCTAGCATGACCTCTGCCCGAGGGAACACACACAACCAAGCCCCACCAGGGACACACGGACTCTGCGATTCAGGGAGGACAACCGGGTCCCACAATCCTGTGTCCGCCCTCACAAAGCACGCTCTCGGGGAAAAAGCAGCCACACTCCATACCAGGGAACACTTACTGGGGTGAGAGAAAATGCAGAGGGACTTTCAAACTGGTGTGTCTTCTAACAACCTTGAGCAAATGACAGCACTCTGAGAAAGAGCACGGTGAGACTCACCTGGGTGGCCAGACACGGCCAAGCCCGGGGCCTCCTTCAGCTGACTCCGGGGTTGCCACCTCTGCTTGGTCTCAGAGAAAACCTTCCTGAAGGACCCTTGCAACTAGATGGTAAAGAATCCTCCAGCAAGGCAGGAGACACAGGTTCCATCCCTGGGTTGGGACAGATCCCCTGGAGAAGGAAATGGCAAACCACTCCACGACTGCTGCCAGGAAAGTCCCATGGACACAGGAGCCGGGAGTCAGAGAGTCGGACATAAATGAGCAACTGAAAAGAAGCTCACTCGCAAGTGCCACGAATGAGGCCACCATTGCAAAGAAGCCTTTGGACTACTCATCATTATCAAAGAGCGACATGTACGCGCAGGTGGAAAGGACACTCCCCGGGTCCTCTTGGAAGAGGTTTCCTGCACTGCCTCGGGATTTGAGGGGCTCTAATCATTGAGCCAGGTTGCCAAAGAAAACAAGGCTTGACACTGGATGCTTAGCTGCCAAGTCTCTCTGACGCCTTGCAATAACCTACGGCTCTGGCGCACCAGGTTCCTCTGTCCCTGAGTTCTGCAAGTCACATTTTCTCAGAGAGAAATTCTAAAGGAAGGACCACTCCCAAGACGAATACAGAACACAGGTGTCAAAGGGTCCTGGGACCAGTGAAAGACCTGGGGGAGACTCACGGCCTCCAAAGTTCCCAAGGCCACTCAAGTGTGTCTGCCGCGAGGGGACGGCCGAGCTGGCCTCTTTTGCGCAAACTTTCCGAAGCCTCTTATGCTGCACTCACAGCCCCGAAAAGGCAGGCTGCCTCCGCCTCTTTCGAGCAAGCTTCTTTTCACTTGCTCAGTCGTGTCCAGGCGCTGCGAAACACGGCTGCCCGCAACAAGCCGTATCCACAACCTAAGAACCCTTCACAGTCTGCTCCTTGGCAACAGAATGGAGCACCTGGCTTTAGAGCAGGAGGGAGTCTGGGGTCCACCTCTGCGATGAGGCAGTGGAGCTCCCGCTTGCCATGTTCAAAACCCTGCCAATATTGCAGGGACGGTCGCCCCTGTTGGCAGCTGCTCTTGCCACACTCTTCATGGCTGGCACGCTCGGTGAGGTCACCGTCTTCCCAAGAGGAAAAGAGACATACCGCCACCTGACACGGAGCAGTAGTGGCTGCATACTGCCGTAGTTCAGGCTGGCCCCAGAGAAGAGGCAGAGCTGCCCAGACGCGCATGGCCACGATGCCCAACAGGTGCAAATCCTCTCCACATCGGGACTCCCAGCCACCCTTGGGCTCCAGCATGCCTGAGAGCAGTGTGAAGCCTTCAAAGTCTTTATCTGGGGTCTGGAGACAGTTACTTCTCTCTGGTCAGCAGCTTCTATACTTCTTCTGAGGTACAGTCACCCAGTCATGTCTGACTCTGTCAGACCCTCCTCGGACTGCAGCACGCCAGTCTTGCCGGCTTCTTCTCTATTGCTCAACGGCTATGATTTTCACACCTTTCTCAGGCATTGCAACTGAAATTATACAACAGAAAAACAAAACAACAACCGGACTATAACTCCTAGAATGTAACAGGTAGTCGTCTTCAAGACTTGTTTATACAAAGCTCTGACTCAGGGTCCAATATTCAACGGAGGGTCAAGAAAACACTCTGAATACTCACGAACATATCCTCCCTCCAAAGAGGAGTCACATTAACAGAAACACTTCCCGTCCCATATCCACAGAGGGTACACACACACACACACACACACATCTGTAAAGGCACAGGAAAAGCTCACCACTTTCTTTCCTTCAATATACTTTCTCAATATCCTCTGATCACAAAAACAGCAACTATTTCTTCTGGCAAATGTAGACCTTAACTCTGGATAAGAGGAGGTGTTCTCAAGACATGTGGTCTCTGATCAGCAAGAGGTAGCCACCTCGTAGTCGGGTGCAATCTCACCGAAGATGACCAGGTTATCTCCTCAGAAATTCTCAGAGGATCCCAGGGAACCAATGCTGCAATTCAAGTGGCACACCACGGCTTACCCTGAGCACCAAGGTTTCAGGAAACTTGACGCTTGGTGTATAATACTATCAGGAAACAGGAAATCTTGGGACATGCTAGAAATAGCACAGGAAAACACCATTTAACAACAGGAGAACCGAGTCATACAAGGCAATATGACATGGAGACACCAAGGGGGTTTCTGAACCGTTGGGGATGACGTGCGGGAAACCAGCGCACCTGGCTCGAGAACATCGTCCCACGAACTTGCGCAGAGGGCATGAGTGAAACCTTGACTTTCCCAGATTATCAGAAAGCCACCTCATGGAGAAGTAACCTGCCTGCGTCCTCAGCCTGTCTCAATGCCACGTGGACTGGACGATCGAGGAATGATCTGAGGAGACTTCCCATCTCACCCTTGGTGCTCGAGGAGACGGGCGATCCACGCAAGAGTCAGGTTACCTCGGACATGTCGCACCTTGTCGTCAACAGGTACGGGCGAATGCAATTGATGCTTAAATTCCACTGCTCCCGTCTAGAGTGCAACTGGAATTCCCTGCTCTTCAATGTTTGAACATGGGTGAGATGGGTCCGACTGGGAAAATTAGAGAGCAGACTCTCGGTTCCTGACTCTCTAGTTCACCAAAAGATCGCTGGCAAATCCCCGAGTACAGAGGTGTAATCGGGTAGGAATGGGCTACATCAAATGTGCACAAGGTAGCGCTGCCGTGTAGGGGGATACCGTGAAGAGCAAGCCCAGTGCGGGATGCTGACTGAGCACGCACCCAGGCGGACATGCTCCTCACAGGGGCCCCTTTCGGGGGCGAGAATCCAGCCTACCTCCCTGCTTCTCGCCACGTGCTCCTCCAAGGAGCAGCTCTAGCATCACCTCTGCCCGAGGGGACACACACAACCAAGCCCCACCTGGGACACACGGCCTCTCTGACTCAGGGAGGACAGCCGGGTCCCAGAGTCCTCTGTCTGCCCTCACAAAGCATGCTCTCGGGGAAAAAGCAGCCACACAGCACGCCAGGAAACACTTACTGGGGTGTGAGGAAATCCAGAGGGTCTTGCACACTGCTGTGTCTTCTCAGATCCTCGAGCAACCAACAGCACTTTTTCAAAGCACTCGGTGGGCCTCGCCTGGCCAGCCAGACACGACCGAGCCTGGGGCCTCCTTCAGCTGACTCCGGGGTTGCCACCTCTGCTTGTTCTCAGAGACAACCTTCCTGAAGGACCCTTGTGGCTAGACGGTAAAGAATCCTCCAGCAATGCAGGAGACACAGGTTCCATCCCTGGGTTGGGACAGATCCCCTGGAGAAGGAAATGGCAAAGCGCTCCATGACTGCTGCCAGGATCGTCCCACGGACACAGGAGCCGGGATGAAGAGAGTCGGCAAGAAGGAGCAACTGAAAAGGAGCTCGCTCGCAAGGAGAAAGAAATGGCAACCCACTCCAAGACTGCTGCCCGGAAAGTCCCACGGACACAGGAGCCGGGATGCAGAGGGTCGAACAGGAAGCAGCAATGGAAAAGAAGCTCGCTCGCAAGTGCCACGCATGAGGCCACCGTGGCAAAGAAGCCTTCGGACTAGTCATCCTTCTCGAAGAGCGACTTGTACACACAGGCTGAAAGGACACTCCCGGGTATTCTTGGAAGAAGTCTCCTGCATTGCCTGGGGATTTCACGGGTTTTAATCATTGCGCCAGGGTTCCAAAGAAAACAAGGCGTTTTGTCCGAGGTGAAATTTTTCCTAAGGCAATTTTTTCCCCTATCCATTCGTACATTACTATGACCGCAAGAGATGTTTCCCGTGTTAGAGTCTAATTGAATCTCTTGAGCAAAAGGTGACTATTCTTCATTTTGGTACAATTCCACCTATCATATTTGAAAACCCCAGAAAAATAAACCCACATGCTGAAGCATTCGACAGAGTTTTCACTGCCTACAACAGTGGCGCACATGTAATCTTTGTATCTTCAGCAGTATACTGTTTGGATTTCTATTACAGTCTTTTACAAAGTGGTGTGAGAAGCTTGGTGTTAATGTCTTTTTCCATTTCAAGCTTAGATCAAGAATATTTTTATTTTCTGGAGAAAGAGGTATCTACTGTATAATTGCACCAAGGTACAAATGAAAGGAAAGCTTTCTTCAATAGGGTAATACTGCAGCCATGTAGATAAAACCACAAATATATCGTTTGTTAGGTTGACTAAGATGTGGGACAATGCTTTTCTGTTAGTAGAATGCAGAGACCTACTTAAGCCACATAATAAAATTCTTTTACCAATTAAAAAAAAAAAGAAAACAAGGCTTCACGCTGGTTGCTTACCTGCCCAGTCTCTCTGATGCCTTGCAATAACCTATGGCTCTGGCGCACCAGGTTCCTCTGTCCCTGAGTTCTGCAAGTCACATTTTCTCAGAGAGAAACTCTAGAGGAAGGACCATACCCAGGGCGAATAGGGCACAGAGGTTTCAAAGGGTCCTGGGACCAGTGAGAGACCTGGGGGAGACTCGCGGCCTCCGAAGTTCCCAAGGCCACTCAAGTGTGTCTGCCGCGAGGGGACGGCCGAGCTGGCCTCTTTTGCGCAAACTTTCCGAAGCCTCTTGTGCTGCACTCACAGCCCCGAAAAGGCAGGCTGCCTCCGTCTCTTTCGAGCGAGCTTCTTTTCACTTGCTCAGTCATGTCCAGGCACTGCAGAACACGGCTGCCCGCAACAAGCTGTATCCACAACCTAAGAACCCTTCACCGTCTGGTCCTAGGCAAGAGAAAGGAGCACCTGGCTTTAGAGCAGGAGGGAGTCTGGGGTCCACCTCTACGATGAGGCAGCGGAGTTTCTGCTTGCCGTGTTCAAATCCCTGCAAACATTGCGGGGCGTGTCGCCCCTTTCGCCACAGTCTTCATGGCTGGTACGCTCGGTGAGGTCACCATCTTCCCAAGAGGGAAAGAGACATACCTCCACCACCTGACACGGAGCAGTAGTGGCTGCATACTGCCGTAGTTCAGGCTGGCCCCAGAGAAGAGGCAGAGCTACCTAGACGCGCATAGGTCACGATGCCCAACAGGTGCACACTCTCTCCACATCGGGATTCCCAGCCACCCTTGGGCTCTGGAATGCCCGAGTGTAGTGCGAAGCCTTCAAAGTCTTTATCTGGGGTCTGGAGACAGTTACTACTCTCTGGTC